TCTTGCCAACAGTGCAGGGATCAAGAAAGTTGGCTCTCAGTTGAGTTATTAGTCTCAGGACTCAAATTTCTCTACTCCCCCATTATAGGGAATAAGCTCTAGGCCTGTAGGAGGTACTGCAAGTAGGTACTTTGTGAGTCTTTTAAAAAGACATAATAATAATTAAAAAAGATACCCAGACCCTGGGCCCTATCCCCATCAATTCTGCCTCACGGGGCTACTGTTAAAAACTTATTAGAGCATTTTGTAGCCTGTACACTATAAAATGTTAGTTATTAGTAATGACTGAATTGACACTTTAAAAAGTCTCATCTTAGGTGCCAGGTCCATGTTCTGGAATTTTTTATGTGTCTTTAGTGCTTGTCAAAGTAACTACCATTGATGGGCCTTTTATTTTTTCTTCTGGTAGTAATATTCTTTTTTTTCCCCCTTTCTCTCTTTGTTATGTACTAGATTAGTAATCCTGTATAATTTTTACTTTTTATGTACTAGTAGAAGCTAGATTCTTTACTTTCTTGCATGCACTTTACAGCTTGTTCAAATTTTAGTAATCTTTTTTTGATGTTTATTATTTAGCTAAGATAATTGCTAACATGAAAGTAGATTACAGAGTTACTGTAGTAACTCTTGTCAAACTTTTAAAGCGTCATATATCATTTAAACTCCTTTTAAAATTCAGCATAGTGTCAATTTTTTTCTCTTTTAATTGTTATTTCCAATTAAGTCTTCTATACTAAATGTTTAGGAATTTCTTAAAATATGGTAAGTAATCATTTAAATGATGACATTATAGCATACTACCAAATTGATCTGATGACACCTTTATTACATTTTACATTTGTACAGAAAGTTAAAATAGTAATTGGGTATTTGGAATCTGAAAGTTTCAAGTATATTTTGGTAACACTGTTATTTGGACTTGAATGGCACAAGGATGGGAACCACCTGTTCAGAGTGTTACTGAAATCTGTTTCTTATGTTTTTAGAGGCTTCGTGACGGAGTGATCAGAGACATTGAGAGGCAAATTCGGAAAAAAGAAAACATTCGTCTTTTGGGAGAACAGATTATTTTGACTGAGAAACTTGAAACAGAAAGAGAAGATGTTATTGGCAAAGGATCTCAAAAAACATGACTTGAAATGAATGTGAACTATTGATGAGACAGATAGTGTTGAGTGTGTTGATGGAAAATAGCTTAGTGAGATCTTCACTCTTTTATTTGTCTTTGTCCTTTTAAACACCGTCACGTAAAAGAACAGTAGATCATATATTCTAAATTATTGCTTTAAAAATTCTTTATTTCTGAGCAGAGAAGTGGCACTCTTCTGAAAAGTTTCTGTTTGTGTAATCCAGATAGAAGCTCCTTTAAGGTTGGTGTCCAGAGCTTAGGATTGTAACAAAAAGCACTTCTGACCGTGTGAGAAGGAAGGGATGGATAGTAACATCCACCTGAGTAGTTTGATAAGTCGCCATGATGATGAAGCCACGAGAACATCTACCTCAGAAGGACTGGAGGAGGGTGAAGTGGAGGGGGAGACTCTCCTGATTGTTGAATCAGAGGACCAGGCATCAGTGGACTTGTCTCATGATCAGAGTGGGGATTCCCTCAACAGTGATGAAGGAGATGTTTCTTGGATGGAGGAGCAGCTGTCCTACTTCTGTGACAAGTGCCAGAAATGGATACCGGCCAGTAAGGAGCTTCTCAATTCCTTTGATTTGCCAATTCCTATGTGGTTTGTTTTTCTAACCTGTGAAAGAAACATGAATGTAAAATAGACCTAAATAAAAAGATAATTATTTATTTGTAGTTTAGTTGATTAACTACAAATTTATTTGAGATATTTGTACTAATAAAAATTTTTGTCAACCTCTATCATGTTGTTAAATTAACATTCTTGATGATAACCCAATACAAATTAGAAAATTGGAAATCCTGTGTTACTTAAATAGCCAGATTTTTCTAACAAAATCATGTTAAGAATTTGGGGCCAAATTTTAGGCCCAGTGCAGAATTAAAGTTCACATTCATAAAAATTACTCTTAATATTTAACTTACATGGAAAACTGCTGTTATATGCTGAAGTAAGGTCAGAATTAGCAAATTAAAGGTGTTTGGTGCTCTTTTTCTAAGACTATTCTTGTGTTCTGCTTGTTGGCCTCTTTGATCAGCTGACTAGAGATAACATACATATTCTTCCCTGTTAAGTCTTTCAGTCTTTTCAACTGCTACCTTCTTAGTTCTCAAGGAAGAGTATGCTTTGTCAGTTATCTTGAGTCTTACCAAAACAGGATTTTTCCATTAGGCGGAGACCAGTAGAGATATACATACTAGAGGAATCTTTGAATGATAGAATTTGTAACTAGGTCAGAGAAATATTTACACTAATATATAATTGTAAAGTGGGTCATTTTTCTAGTATGTGGAAATGTTTTAATTAAGATTCCACTACTCAAATTAATAGTTACTACTAATAACTTTTTCACAGAAAACAAACCTAGAATTTATGACATATTAGGTAGTTTTGTTTCTAAGGTGTTTCTATTACTCAGGGTCTTGCCTAGAAATCTCACTGGCTTTCTTCTTGTCCTCACAGGATCCATTTTAAACTGCCCTTTATGATCGGCCCCTGCTAACTTCTTTAGCCTCTTTTAAACTTTGCAGTTAGTATGAGCTTTTAATTCCCCACAAACCAGTCTTATCCCTATGACTTAGCACATTTTAATTTCCTCTCTAATATGCATCTCTATAGCCTCCATGCACTCCATACACACAAACACCTCTCTTCCTCTGGCCAATTTTAATCATTCTGTAGAATTCACTGTTTCTAGCTCTTCTATCTTTTTAATATGGATTGGGTACCACTTTTATGTGTCCTCACATTGCCCTTATCATCTGTCATCTTCCACTGCAGTGGTTTTCATTTCTTCCAGAGCATCAGCATCACCTGGGGAACTTTAAAAAATACAGAGACCTGACCCAGGCCCCACCTCAGAGATTGATTCATTTCATGTAGGGTAGGCCAAGGCATATTCCAACAACTCCCTGGGTAATTCTGATGCACAGTGAGGGTGGAGAAGTACTGTGCTGTTGTGATTATCTATTTTCTCATGTTTCCCTTACAGAATTTGTTAACTGCCGAGAGCAGGCACTATGCCTGTCTTGGGTGTTGTATTTTCTAGCCTAGTGCCCGACACTCTCTGGGAGCTCAGATAGTTTTTGAAAGGACATGTGGAGAGACCTATAAGAGACAGGAATGTTAACAGTTGGAAAAACCAGTGAGAGCAATAATACCTGCTTTTCCTAGTGTTTTTCTCCTAAAAATTAGGGAACCACTCATCTTGCTGAGCATACACTTGATACTGAAAGAATAAAAACTTTTCTTCTCTGTTTCCTCTCCCACCTGTTTCCTGCTATGGACTGGCTCAAAAAAGGAAAAACAGCATGAAAAACTTGGAAAATCAGGTTGATGAATTAAACTTTTGGGTTACTGCTGCTCTAGATAAACCTATAATATGCCTTTTTGTTTTTCTCCTAGGTCAGCTGAGGGAACAGCTCAGTTACCTTAAGGGTGATAATTTTTTTAGGTTTACTTGTTCTGATTGCTCAGAAGATGGCAAGGAGCAGTATGAAAGGCTGAAGCTTACATGGCAGCAAGTGAGTAAAATCTCTTCCTGTAGAATTCATGAGGATGGTCACCCAAGGAATTTATTGGAATATATAAAGAGGAACATACGTAGCACTTTTGAGTTGTCTTCAAGGCCACTGTTTCACAATGAAAATTGTATACTGAGTGTATGGTGAATAGAGTACTTGGTACTCACTGCTAACTTAGTGAATTGAGTTCGAGATTCTTGAAAACTTCACACACAGAATTTTATTTATGTATAATACCAAACTTAATTGAAAATGTGGCTGACTGCATCGAGTCTCCATCAGTGGGGAGGGATAATTTAGCTTTTCTGCATTTGAACTCAAACATGTTTGACTATTTTTTGTTTGATGAATATGTCCACTTTTAACCGTCTTTAATACCAACATCCTTATTCTTTCCATGTAGTCTGAACAATAGCTTTTTACTGATCTTAGGTTGTATTAATTTTTTTTGGTTTTGGTTTTGTATTACTATGTCTGTGGTAGGCACAATGTATGTATAGTCTTTAAGTTCTAAAAAGGAATGAATTATACATACTATATCTTATATTTATTCATTCAACAGATATTGAGTGCTTGTGATGAATCAGGCACCATTTTAGGCCAGGAGACATTTTCAGAACTTTCTTACCTTCCCAAAATGAAACTCTATATCCATTAAACAGTAGTTCCCCATGGACAATAACTGTTTAAAGGATGCTTATTGGCTGATGTAGACCTGATGCAGAAATAAGTGGAAGAATTTGAAAAATCTGTTCATGGGTTAATTATTTGTTAAACCATCAGCAGGTTTTACAAGTTTAAGGATGGGCGAAATTGAAACTCAGTTAGTGGAATCGTCAGAATTACCTGAGTCATAGATCTTTCCATGGGATCATTGAGGAGTTAATGCTTTGGACTCAGACGTGTTATTTATATGTCTGGCAAATACCAATTTGGGGCCATGAATTTATTACCTATAAAATAACCAGGTTGGACTAGATTAAGAGTTTTCACATTGAGCTCTGGAGCCCTCTGAGAATGGGCTGAGCAGCAAGGCCTTTCGGGTCCCTGCCCCTGTCTAATATTGATTTCATTTGAAGACAGATTTTCACAGCTAAAAATGGTTAAATACTGAATAGGTGGTGTCTCACATTATTTTAAGAGCTTAGAAAAATATATACGTGGGGGTGATTTTCAAAAATTTTAATTTAGGTTAGCACTGTCAGAAGATGCTGGCTGGAGTAGGCACCTGGAGGCCTCCTTGATGGCCAGTAGTTAACACCTTATTTAGTGCTGCATTGTGTAGGATGGAGGGATACTGGGATGGGGGAGGTGGTTACTTAGGGCAGTGGTTATTTATCATATCAGTTCAACAACACATCAGCTCTACATATGTAACATGTAAGGAACAACTGTACACATTAAGTGGATTAGTGATATTCATCTGAAAGCAAAAAGGGAAGCAAAATTCTATACTGAGAATATTTCAAGATATTCTTCCTTTTTTCCCCTCTGTTCCCCAGCATTACTACCCAGAATATAAAACAACAAATGTTTCTCCCTAAAGATTAACCCTTAATCATGCCTTTCTCCCAGCCCTTGTTTCGTTTGTGTTTCAGGTTGTCATGTTGGCAATGTACAACTTGTCTCTGGAAGGAAGTGGACGTCAAGGTTATTTCAGGTGGAAAGAAGATATCTGTGCTTTTATTGAGAAACATTGGACTTTTTTACTAGGAAATAGGTAACGTGATTTTAAAAAATCTTACACTTGAACAAAGATGCAAAGAACAAAGATGCAAAGAACAGAGTATATAAGATTTGAGACAGCCTAATGCAGCCCTGTAGAGAATTAGAGTATGCATTTCCTTATGGCAATTACAGAGAATTTTGTAATCCAGAAAATCTTGTTACTTTTTAAGTTAAAAAACTTCTTTATAAAAAAATCAAAATGGAAGTGTATACTATTAAAAGTATAGATTTTCATACTTCACTCATCCTACTTCCAGAGGAAGCTGTTGGTTTCTACAGAGCGTGAAGAGATTTCGAAGAGTTTTGTAGAATGTAAAAAAATAGTGTTTGATTAAATGAGGCTCTTTGATAGTTGGATAAGTAACTATTTCATTTCAGGAGATAGCATTATTATGTCCTTTTAAAATTAGTGCCTTATGGGAGATCAGAAGAAGAAAAATTATGGCAGTTAATAACTGCATTCATTTTAATTGCTCTTCATTAACAGTCTTATGTTATTAGTATTTGTTTTCATTAACTGAAGGGAGAAACTGTTTTATACCTTTTGGTACTACAGTGCTTAGTACAGTCAAGGTACATTAATACACATATGGCTTATTCATTCATTCTTTTTTTCATCATAATGCTTTGATTTTGTTGCTGAGTGCACCCCTCCTTGGTGGCTGCTTTGGTTCATCAGACTTAGGGATTCCAGTGCACAGACATTGAGACCATATGTTTTAACTAAAGGTCCACATGGATCTAATAAGATCGTTATTGATATCTTTATTGCTATTTAGGGATTAGTGAGTTTGCAACTGCATTGGTGAATTGTATTGGAGATTCTGATTTTTTTTTTTATGGTGACATTGGTTAATGAAATCCAGTTTC